TTTACCAAACTAACCCTTAAGTGGCCCACTCAAAATAACATATTTGAGCCTTATGTTACACTTAAGCACACAATTCATCAGCCATTTTCTTGCTCTTGCCGACCATAGAGAGAGAGGAACTAGAGGAGTGAATTTCATCTCATTTTGCTTATAAAATTGCTTGGTAATTGAAGGAATTGGAACATAGGTTGCAAATTAAGCTTCCTCACCTTGTAACTAAAGCTCTAGGTAAGGAATTCAACCCCTCTTTGTTGTGTTTAAGCTTATTCATGCAAGATTCTTGAGCCTCTAGTGATTCAAGTCTAGAATTGGTTCTTTGGTGTTGAATTAGAGCATAATTCATGCATGCATGTTAGTGTTGTTGGAGTTTGAGTTGAGTTCATGGAAAAATGTTGCATGCATGTTCACAATTATGTTCAAGTCCATGATTTCATCATGTTTTGGAAACAATTGGCTCCTTAGAGCATCAAATTGAAGCTTTGAATTGGTTTGAATTCATGCATGTTTGCATGTTCTTCATATTCTTGAAAAATGGTTTGAAATTGAGTTTGAATTAAACACCCTTGGGCTTGATTTCTCAAATTAAGCTTTAAACCATGTTATTCTATGTGTTTATAAATGTTTTCCAGAAAATGGGCCCAAGAGGATTGGTTTTGATGCATTTGAATGTGAGTTTGAGCTTGGAGGTGCAATCTGGAATTCCCAGATTTTGCACTTACGCTCGAGCGGGGTAAGTGGCGCTCGAGCGTGGAATCCGAGCATCCAGCATCTCTCTGCACTGTTTTACAGTCCGCTCGAGCGGAGGATTGGGCGCTCGAGCGAAGTCATGTCTCAAGCTCGAGCGGGCGTCGAGCGGAGATTTCACTCATCCAATACTTTTACAGTACCCTCGACCGGAAAGTTTACGCTCGAGCGTGTACCTTTGTTGCATTACCGCTCGAGCGGGGAAACCTGCGCTCGAGCAGGACTTTGTTTTGGCCCAAGGAAACTGCCCATCTTGCGATTCTTCCTGTTAAGTCTCCTTGTTGCAACAAGGACTTCAGTGGGTGCTCTGTGAGCACCACAATCTTGTGCGCCTGAAAGTAATGGTTCAATTTTTTTGAGGCCATTACTAAGACCAGCATTAATTTCTCTAGTGGTAGATACCTTGTTTCTGTGTCGGTCAAGGTTTTACTTACATAATAAACAGCCTTTTGTTCTCCTTGTTCTTCTCGGATTAGTACTGCACTTACTGCGTGTTCTGACACAGCTAAGTACAAAAACAGCTCTTCCCCAGGTTCAGGTGTCGAGAGGATCGGAGCCGTGGTCAGATATTTCTTTAGGTCGGCCAAAGCGGCCTCACTTTCCTCAGTCCACAGGAAGTCCGTGGTCTTCTTCACTAGGTTGAAGAAGGGTTTACATTTGTCTGAGCTTCGGCTTATGAACCTGTTTAGGGCTGCGGCCCTTCCAGTAAGCATTTGTACTTATTTTGCCGATGTTGGGCTCTGTAGGTCTAGGATGGCCTTGATCTGATCTGGGCTGGCCTCTATGCCCTTCCTTGTTACCAGGTACCCCAGAAATTTACCAGATCCAACTCCAAACGCGCACTTTGATGTGTTGAGTCGGAGCCGATATGTTTTGAGGATCTTGAATACCTCTTTTAGGTCGGCAATATGACTCTTAGGCTCCTTGGTCTTCACGACCATGTCATCGATGTAGACTTCTACTGTTTGTCCAATCAGGTGTTTGAACATTTTGGTTACCAGCCTTTGGTAAGTTGCTCCTGCGTTTTTCAACCCAAAAGGCATTACCTTGTAACAATACAGTCCTTTCGGGGTGATAAACGCTGTCTTCTCTTCGTCTGGAGGGTACATGGCTATCTAGTGGCATCCTCTGTAAGCGTCCAGGAAGCTCATCCTTCCATGTCCAGATATGGCGTCTACCAACTGGTTAATCTTGGGTAGATGAAAGCAGTCTTTGGGATAAGCTTTGTTCAGGCTTGTAAAATCTACGCAGACCCGCCATTTACCGTTCTTCTTCTTTACCACTACTGTGTTGGATAGCCATGTCGGGTAATGAACTTCTCGGATGGCCCTGGCCACCAGAAGTCTGTCCACTTCTTTTTCTACTGCTTCGACGTGCATCAACGTCGGTCTTCTGGCTCGTTGAATCACAGGTTTTGCCGACCTGTCGACATTCAGTCTATGGCAAGTGACCTCGGGGTCAATGCTAGGCATTTCGTAAGGTGTCCAGGCGAACACCTCAATGTTGGCTCTTAAAAAAGTCTCAAACTCTTTTTCCTCTTCTTCGGCTAAGCCCGAGCCGAGAAGAAAGAAGCGTTCTTCGTCTCCATCCTGGATGAGGATTTTCTTTAGCGCCTCTTCGCTCTTCTCGGCTGGTTCTTTGCCAACTTCGTCTAGTACTTACACGTCCTCATCTTCAATTTCTGTCTCTTTTGTCTCTCGAACGCTGCAAGTAGACTTCATTGCTTCCATTGAGCAACTTTTTGCCTGCAGTTGATCTCCTCTGACTTCTTCAATCCCATGCTCTGTTGGGAACCGCAGTAGTTGATGCAATGTTGAGGGAACAGCCTCCATTGTATGCAACCATGGTCTTCTCAAGATGTTGTTATATGGTGAAGGTGTGTCAATCACCATGAATTCTGTCCTGATCTTCTTAGTGCCAGCTTGTACTTCCAAGCTTGTTGCGTCCAGTGGCTACGTCGGCGTTCCATTGAAGCCGACCATCGGGCCATTCGATTGCTCCATGTCGTCTGGGTGAAGGCCTAGCTCCTTGTAACATCTAACGTACATGATGTCACAAGAGCTGCCTTGATCTATTAGGATGCGTTTCACTTGGCACTCCCCAACCTAGAGGGATACTACCAAGGCATAATTATGCGGGTGCTGAACCATTTCAAGGTCGGCCTCAGAAAAGGACACTACTGGTCCTTGGCACTCTTCTGCCCGATGTCTCTTCTCCCCGACTTGGTAGAGATGCTGCAAGTGCTTCACCTTTTGGGTCTCCCCCCTGATCTCGTTTTCGCTGACCTTCGTGTGAATTACATTAATTACCCGTGGTCCTCCTATTTGAGGTTGTTGTGCTGGGGGAGGTGGAGCTGCTGTCGCTTGAGGCAATCTTGCCTGTTCTTCCCTTATTCTGGCCTCATCGATAAAGTCTCTCAGATGGCCTTGCCTTACCAAGTCTTCTAAGTGTGCTTTTAGGGCTCTG